GGGTGTAATATTCAGGGGAAACCACATTTCTGAGATTAAAGTTTGCTGTTTACAAGAATACATAACAATATTTACTGTTGTTATGAATTGGAAAATAAGTTTTACAAACCAAATGTTTGTTTTTTTACCAGGCTCTAAACATTTATTTCTGCTGTCAAATTAGGAGAAATGGACTTGGAGATTATTTTTTCTGATGAATGTGCATCTTTAATCTCAGGAATTCAAAGTTTTTTGTCTCGTAGACCTTTAAGGTCTTGAGTTATTTCCTCCCCGACTCTGAAATATAATTTTTATTTTTGTATTCCTTTGTAGGTTTCAGGCCCAGTCTGCTCCTACGTTTCATTCTTGGGTGCTAAATTGAAAACAGTTAAAAGCGTTAAATAGCCTGAGTGTAAAGTCACCGTCCCTTGCCTCCTGTGAACTACAGTCCATGTAGTCCCCACACACACACCAGTGTCTGCGCTGCAGTAGAAGCATGTTCTTCATGACCGTCTGCTTGACTAAGCACGGTGCTTGTAGTGTTCCCCAAAAAGAGCTTCAGCTATTCTGCAAAATAAACGTAATCCCTGAGAGGCAAGTGAGAAATAAAAACTGGTGACCTTTAATGTATTTCTCTCCTTGGTATGTGACTTAAAAACAGGTGGGAAACAGTCAGGACATTGTGGTAATACTTATGTTGGCCACAAGAGGCAGATGAGAGCATAAAGAAATTAAAACAAAATTATTATTAATTATAAATTATTTATCTTTTAAATAAATCCTGGCAAATATGTTTTAATGGGAGAGAAAACAATTAAGCTCATACTTTGAAATAAATAATCACCAGAATTATTTATATCCTATTTGCTTCTCAGAGCTTCGATAGGAAAATTGAAAGTGAAAAAATAAGTTTAGTTGTTCTTTAAGTAACGACGCATAGTGGATGGCTTTTAAACTGAGCAGTGTGTTACGGAGAATGTGTTTCCCTGTCGATGATGTAACCACTGTTGTTGTGCCTGGGCCTCCATCAGGACGGAGATGCCTTGGAAACAGGAACCAAAAAGTTTGAGGACTTGGAGTTTCAGCAGCTGGAGAGAGAGAGCAGCCTGGAGGAGGAGAGAGAAACCATGAGCCAGCAGCTGCTGCATGAGAGAGCCGAGTACCATCGTAGCGTGGCCAAGAGGAAGGTGAGGGAACTCCTGACAGGCTTCAGCACCTCAGTATATAATGCTTTGTACCGTATGGGTTTCTGTGTAGGAGTTGAAGCAAACAATGACACTGTAGACATTCTTATACTAAAACAATGAAATAATAGTAATGATCTCCATTTAGTTACATTTGTCCAATCAATGACGTTTTGTGGGGTTATTTTTTTGTGTATTTATCATCATTAATCATTTCATTTAGCCTATTTTTTACACTTCTATGGTCGTGGTTAGGTTGAAGAACAAACGAGAAATGTTCTTGAAAGATATTAGACTTGTATTAAAAGTAGTTGTCCCCTTTCAACACCGAATACCCACAATACATTGCAACAAAATATAATTAAAATAGCTGAAAGTAACACTGCTCCCATATGAATATACATATATTGAATGAAATTCAATAGAAAAGGGACCATTTGAAAAAAATGGATTAATCCTATTTAAAGATGGTACATTTATTGTATGAATATATATATTTTCATATATATTCATATATATTTAATTTGTTAATATTATATTATATATATATTTATGATAATAAGATTACAAATGTAAATGATTAATGATTTAAAATAGATTTTAATGAACTATAAAGCTTTAAAAAAAAAAAAAAAAAGGTTATTTAGAATCCTGTGTAAAAAGAATACAGTGTCCACTCACACACCAGGCAGCGAAACAGACACCAACATCTGGAGAGTTTGTTGTTTGTTTTCAATATTTATTTTCAACAATACTATTATAACTTCCATGTCTCCTCTCCTGCCACACTGTCACAGAGCAGCTTGCATTAAAGATGTCTTTCTCCCCCTCCTCCAGGAGAAGGTGTCTGCTCTGGAGAGCCAGGCCAACCAGCTGGGCCTGCAGGCGTCTCAGGAGTGTGAGCGGCTGGCCAAAGACCGGACCCTCACCCTGCAAATGCTCCAAAAGGTACCAAGTAACACTCACTCTATGAGTACATGGAATAAAAGCTCACCCTGAGTATTTTAATTTTTTTAAAGTACAGATTATTGCCTTTGTTTTATCTAATTCTGGTATGTGTGCCTAACAGGAGAAAGAGAGGCTGTCCGCCCTGGAGAAAAGATACCACAGCCTGACGGGAGGAAAGAGCTTCCCCAAGTCCTCCACTACCATGAGAGAGGTAAGACCACTCCCAGGAACACAAACTCACACTCCGTGCTCCTGGCCTGAAAACAGTGAGGACTTTTCAGGCCTCAGCTGATTCCATCCTCACCACCATTAACCCCTTTAACTCTAAGTGTTGTAAAGGAGTGATCAGACTAATGGCAGGATTGTTTGTGCCCGTTTGTTTACAATGTGGAGTTGCCGATGATTAGTGTGTGGAACAAACTAATCATTATCACACTTTTGTGTAATGTGAATCTGAGAAACATTTTAAAGCAGGGTCCAGGCTTTCAGTATCGAGGGGTTTAAAGCTTCTTAACATCATTAATATCGTTGAAATGCAAAGTCAACAAGTGCTACAGACATTCTTTCTGCTCAGTTGCAGATAAATAGGCTGACAAATACAGAAGTTACCCTTTAACAGAGGAAGGGCAAACGACAGAACCTGATTCACACAATCCTTCCTTTATTCTGGCGAGCAGAAGTTGTGTTGCATCAGTTTTCTGTAGGCATTAAAGGCTTATTCCTGAATTGTTGAAACAGGATGCGCTCCATGTCAGCGAGGCAGACCTGTTGTCGGAGGACGTCCACTCCTCCCAGCATTCCCTCTGTCGAGCCTCTGCTTCCTTCTTACATCCCCCCCCTCTCTGTCAGTTGTACCCCAGCAGCCCAACAGAGGTAACCAGACTAATGATCGCTGCATGAAGCCCCCCCGCTCCCCCCTCTGCTGTTTTTGTCCGGGTCACAGTTCCACTCTAATTGCACCGGTTTTCACTCGGTTCGCTTGTTTTTAGAGCAGCCAGCACAGCAGCTTTCAGTTTGAGTTGGGTCTGGTCCGAGCCCAGGGATGTAGTAGAAGAAGCCTCAATGCCCACCATGCTTTTGACACAAATAACCATTGTTGAACAGGAGCAAACATTTATATCTGATAGATGTTATATATAGGGCTGTACTGAATGTTGTTTTCTTGAATGTCTCTTCCGTCATATTTTAAGATGTCATCACACTGAAAAAAACCATTAAGCTTTAAATTCCAGTGCGATTGGATTAGACGCTTTGTCTGGTTCAAGACGGAGGCTAAACCGTTTTTAAAAGCATTGACAATGTTGTTTTTGAAAGGCTAAAAGACAATAAATATAGATTACATTAGAATATTTCCTTAAATAAAAACATGCCATGGATCTTGCAAATTAATACATCTATTCCTTTTTCAACCCATTTTATCTTTTGAACTTTCCACATTCATATCTCAGTTGTCCAGCAAGATAAACACGTCCATACAGTCACTCTCAGAGATACAACGTAATGTTGAGATGCTTCACTTGTATGAGCAGTGAAATAAAAAATGTATAAGTGTCTGCAATCTGATCACAAGAATGCACTCAAGATGATATATAGTGTCACAACACAAAGACTTACACATCCATTTTGGAATTAGCTAGACTAACTTTCTGTCCCATGGGAACTAGAAACACTCTGACACTGCGACATGAGAAGTGAATAGCAGGAGTCACTAGAAACACTTCATGATTGGTGAAGCCAGAACATTAACTGTGCACAAATATCAGCATTCGTTTGGTTTAGAATATATAAAACGGTTATGAAAGAAGCTTCAAACTATCCGGCACAGCCCTATTTAAATCTAACTTGTGATGACTGGAGGCCACAATTCTTATTGACACTACATCCCTGGTGGTCGGAACAGCAAACTGCAGTGTGAGAAGCACTTTGTGTTGCTTGGTGTGTTCCTGTTTGTCTGTCGCGCCACTTTTTCGGGTTTGATTTCCCTCAACGTGTTTGTGTGTGTGTGTGTGTGTGTGTGTGTGTGTGTGTGTGTGTGTGTGTGTGTGTGTGTGTGTGTGTGTGTGTGTGTGTGTGTATTCATGTCGAATGCACTTATTGTAAGTCGCTTTGGATAATGCAATGTAATGTATAAGCTGTAATAAGCAGTGCGCTGTGGTGTTGTCCTCATGGCTTCTCCTCCTGTCTGGCTGCTGTTGGCTATGGGTATTCAGGAGTACTTGAAGCTGTCTGATGTCCATAAGCTTTACGGCAGCCCTGAAGGCAGCACGCCCCCCCGCTCGCTTGCTGTAGACGCTGAGTTAGCTGGCCCCGGCGAGGTACCATCACTTCCTGTCTGTCCTTTTCCTGATTCCTCCCGTCTGTCTCTCTCCATCCTGTCATTTCCATGTCACGTTGCTCCCTCTGCTGGTCTGTTCAGCTGTTGGCTCTGCTCTCTGCTACATGTTGGAGCATCGTGGCCTCACTCTGCAGTGAGCACTCTTACCCGTACAAAGCTGCTCTTTTGTATAACAAACTGCAATTTTAAAACACTATTTGTATTTCATTTTGCATATATTTCATATTCAAATGGACAAAATAATAATTCAATGAATCAATAAAATATATAATTATTATATTTGTATTTACCATAGGGACATTCGATCACATATTTATCACATTTTTATTAAAAATAGAAGTAAGAACAGGAATTTCAAGTCCAAGAAACTCCAATAAGGGTTTATTTTTTAAATAAATAGTCCTTCCACCGCTCATCATTCTTTTCTACAAGAACATTGCTTTATATTTCTATTTGGAATTTCTATTAGACAAACAGAAGTTTCCGAAGACTACGTAAGAAGTAATGTGTATACCCATTTCACATGAACTTCAGAACTTTCATGTGTCTGGATCAACATTCAGATCAACAGCAAACTATACTTTTGGATTTCCAACGTTTGTATTCCAATATTATCATTTTATTCTGCATTTATCCAGTTACTGTATCCAACGTTTTGCTTTCAAATCTATTATGTTTAAATGCACAAGAAGTCACAAAAGTGATCAAATTCAAAAGTGAGTTATGTCAGTCAAGAGAACACACATGGTGATGGCAGCTTTATATTTGAATGATATGATCAGAGACCAGTTAGCTATATACAGTATGTGGACTGCGTGAGTTTCCCTCCTGCTGCCTGTCCCGCTGACGTGTGTGTGTGTGTGTGTGTGTGTGTGTGTGTGTGTGTGTGTGTGTGTGTGTGTGTGTGTGTGTGGCCTCTGGAAGGAGTATGTGACAGTGGGCCAGTTGAGTCAGATGTATGGGATGCCGCAGGTGGAGTCGTCCCCTACCTCCCCGCTTCGTCAGCCCCTGCGGTCTGGACCTGTAGACCCGGCCTTCTCCTGCCTCCCCTCTCCTCGCAGCTCCTCCCTCTCTCTGTCTGTAGAGGTGTGTGCTTCCTTCCTTCTTTCCTTCCTTCCTTTCTTTAACCTTCCTTCCATTCTTCCTTTTTTCGTTCCTTCCTTCCTTCCTTCCTTCCTTCCTTCGTTTATCACTTCCTTTCTTTTTCCTTCCTTCCATTCTTCCTATGTTTGTTCGTTCCTTCCTTCTTTCCTTCCTTCCATTCTTCCTTTTTCGTTCCTTCGTTCCTTCCTTCCCTCTGTCCTTCCTTCCTTCCTTCGTTTATCACTTCCTTCCTTTCTTTTTCCTTCCTTCCATTCTTCCTTTGTTCCTTCCTTCCTTCCTTTGTTCGTTCCTTCCTTCCTTCCTTCCATCCCTCTTTCCTTCCTTCCCTCTGTCCTTCCTTCCTTCTTTTCTTCCTTTTTTGGCTGCCTTTGTTTACCAGCTGTCACCAGTTCAACCAAAAAGTGTTGGGTTTGTTTGATTGTAATATTTAATAATATTAACCAGTTATGTATTCTTTATTTGTAGTAAAAAAAACACTAAATACTTAAAACCAGCTCAGAATGTCTATGTTTATTGATTTGTGACACCTTTAAAGTCCCTATGCTCTGGCTTGAAGTTATAGTTTCACCTGATATATAATGAATAAATCCTTAAGTTCTTAATAATATCTCCTCTTAAATGCGTGCATACATTCTGGTATTTCTCATTCTGGTATTTTGTACAGACTGTAAGCTGTTTAACATTTTCCGAACAATGGAAAGCAGTTTGTTCTTGTAACTGTATTAAAAAACAACAACATCAGCGTTAATTGCAACTAGAAAACAAAGGTCTATTCTTATGCATTAAGATATTGTTAATTGTAATTCGCAGCACATGGCTCCGAGGAACAAAGTAAAACATAAAATGAGATGAAAACTGAAATATCCCTGTGAGTAACTGGGTCATTGCGCAGCGACATTACAGAAGAGATATGTTAAATAGGTATATGCAGCTGGAGGGTATAAAGCATAATGTTGCTGACAACAATAAAACATTGAAGATATTTAAGAATAATTGAATTAAAGCTTTTGAGGGTGTATCAAACAAATGTTCCTGTCCTCTTCCTGCTGTCTGTGAATGCTTTCTAATCTCTCTTATTCTTTGTTTCCTCTGCGCTCGCTCTCTGCTCCTCTGCAGTACCACTCTGAGAGCAGCAGGCCTCACCTGCCCAAGCTAGATTTAGAGCAGTGGTACCAGGAGCTGATGTCAGGCTCCCCTCAGCTCTGCCCCCCCCCTCTGCCAGCCAAGTCTCAGTCGGGACGCAGGCCTGTGCTGCAGGTACAGGGCCGCTCTTCTTTCTCCTCTTTACCCCCCCATCCTTCAGCTGTTTGTCTGTGCTGTTATTCCTCTGCCAACCTTCAGCTAGGGAGTCTAAACATGTGTGAACAAAGCTGTGTTCACATCGTATGGAAACGTCCTATACAACTACACTGAACACACTTTCTCCCGGATGATGTCGCTTTTTTAAACGAGGTTTGAATTGTGAATTCAAACAAAGCTAAATCACTATATAGAACATCTTTGGTTAGAAAAATATATTTTTTTCCGCTCAAAATAAATATATTTCTAATGTGATTGAAGGAAATGAAAATAAAGCCACATTAACTTTGCTTTCCCACGGGACAAAAGCAGAAGTCCTGTGTTTGTTTCAGCCATCATTCAGCCCTCTTCCATAAGCACACTTCCACAGACTTTGATTAGAATCAGGATCAAAATATGTTATTCATTTCAGAGGGAAGTTACGTTTTGTGAGAGTTGCACCATATTAGAATAAAAATAAATACATATTTATATAGATAAAGAGGTCAAATATGCCTAATTAAGTCCTTGTAGCTACTGGGACACAGTCCTCCACATCACAGGGACCCTAAGACATGGCAAAGCTCCTCCTGTTGGCCCAAACAGTACGGAAGCCTTTTGACGTAAACGATCCCCACAGTGCAGAAGCAATTGTTGGAAACACAGTTGTCAGATATATCCTGGTGCAGTACATTTTCCGTAAAGCACATTAAATGAACTCCAGATATTCCATCTGACTCCTAGCTAACGCCATTAGCTTGTCCATTTCATTAGCCAGTGATCTCCCATGTAGTTTCAAAACCAGAAACAGAGTCCAAAAATCTTTTTACTTCCGGGATGCAATCCATTTCCCTACAAATGTTATTGCCAATGTTGATATATGTGAAGCCAACTTTGGAGACCGGGCTGCACACTGAAAAAGCCTCCTTGAAGCATCCAGAAAACTACGAGAAATAAAGTTCACCTCAGCTTTGATATGATAAAACAACCTTGGGAGGTATGAAGATGATGTCTTCTTTTTATCCTGACTAATGAAATCAAACTCAGGGACACCGGGGCATGATGGGTGTTTTTGTTGTGACTGGCATTTTATCAGTGTTTTTTTTGGTGTTTAACATAAAGTCAATTTATGTTTCGAAAAAGTCGAGACTAATCTCCTCCTACATTTATTCTGCTCATGGAACCTTCACTTATTGTTTTTTATTTATTTTAACATCGTCCACGTTCCCTCGCAGCGTTTTGTCTCATCATGATTTCAACCACTGTTTCCCAGCAGATGCTTGCACGTCATCCATCAATCAGGACGTCCTAACTTCATCTCTTCCTGCTCTGTGCCCCCCCCCCCCCCCCTCAGGTGTTCCGCTCTAAGCTGGACAGTGATCCGGGTCTGTCTTTGCATCAGCCCCAACCCGGCTCGGCCCCCCCTCTGCAGCACGGAGCAGCAACGCTGGGACGCAACTCCAGCTCCAGGGTGAGCAGCGTCTTCCTGTCAAACACATCTCCAACCTTTTATTTTGTCTTTATTATCAGAGGCTTCACTCAGATATTTTATTCTATACAGCATTCTACTGTGTGGAAAAATAGACCCCACTGGTATTGTACTGTAGTTTTGTACGACAATATAATTACCCATGATTCACATTGTTTACGTATTTATTTGTTTGTAACTCACATTTTATTCCATATTTCCTTTTTAGTTCTCACCACTCATATATTATGACTATTTTTATTGGTCTTCATTTTTCTATTTAATGTATAATTTATTGTTCTTTCTTTTTTTTGTCTCACTATAATTGTCATATTTAATTGATTTTTATCTACAGAAATAATTTAATTTAAATCTGTACAGTAACACTATAAAAGGGAGATTTTCTGTCAATCCAAATGAAAACGTCCTTAAATTCCCCTTAAACCTTGATAATTGTTGAAAGCAAATATTTGTTTAGTATTTATTTATTGAATGAATGAATGAATTCTCAATATTCCACCTGCTCCCTCTGCCCCTGCAGAGCCCCCTGCTGGCAGCCAACAGCACCGGCAGTCTGCCCAGGAACCTGGCTGCCACCCTGCAGGACATCGAGACCAAGAGGCAGCTGGCTCTGCAGCAGAAAGGTAAAACCTCCTGAAGAATTCATTCTGCAGTGTGCATTAATCAACATGAATGATTCAGTCATAATTCCCTGCCTAACACTGTTTACTCATTTAAGGGGAAAGTATTTGTTGTGAGTAATTAGAGCAGGAATTAACTTAATGATCGCAATTTATCATTAGCACACATTGCCACGTACAACTCATTCTTCAACAGGTTTCTTTTAATCATGCAAAATAATACTCAAAACAAAATAGACACCATCATGCAGAGGTGGGAGACTCGAGTCACATGACTCGACTCGAGTCACATATTTTTGGACTTGCTTGACTAACATTGATAAAAGACTTGACTTGACTTTGACTTGGTATTCATGACTTAAAAATTGACTTGAGACAGATGACTCGAAAGGACTTTACTTTTTAAAATAAAATATTTGCATTTGTTTTTGTATTGTACGGAGCCCCTAAAGGGCAATGAAAAAAAAAAGATACTGTATCTCGTTCGCTCGTGACTTGGCTTGATTTCGAACTTAGACTCTCATTCACTTCATGAA